CGCAAGGCCAGGGCTGCCCGCGGCGGCCACTTCTCCCTGGTGAGCACACAAGGTCTCGCTGAGGAGCAGGACTGTCCCGTGGGGCCTCGCAGGGGCATGTGCTCCACCAGGGGGCGCCACCCACAGCAGCTGGCCTCGCCACCTGCCCCTCTCCAGACAGGCCCCCAGGGGCAGCGGTCTGGCCCCGAGTAATTGACTTGGGTGTTCCTGCTGTCTTAGTGAACACCGCGTTGCCCGCGTGCACGACTGCTAGGCCTTCCTCGGTTAATAAAGATTCTATTTTCATATAACATTTGAGTGGAAAGGGGCTAAATCTATTAAACCAGCTTGTTTGTGGATCTGTGTGTGATTCTGATCCATTGAGGAGGCTGGCGGGTCTGAGAGAGCCAGGGTAGCCCTGGGAGGGGAGCGCGGGGAACCTGCTCTGGGCCAGAGCCTCTCGGAGACAGAATGCAGTCACTCCCCCAGCCACCCTCCAAAGGTGTGTGTTATTGTCTTCATTTATTATAGAGAAAGAAACTGAGGGTCATAGAGGTTCAGTGACTTGTCTAAGATGTGCATGAGAAGTAGTAGATTCAGGATTCAAATGCAGGCCTCTCTGCTGTCACAGACTCTGTTTCTATGAGTAATGTGCTCTCCTCCTGCTGACAGCAGAGGGGCCAATGGAGGGTCCCTAGCAGACAAAAAGAAAAGGTCTCCGAAAAATTCACTGCATCTTCTCTGTCCTCCCCCAGAATGCACACGTTTGTTTTAGTATAAAAAAGCATGAAATGAATTGAGTTTGCTTTGGCAAAAACAGAAAAGGGACCCCAATGGCTTTCTCGTGGAATCTTATCAAGGGGTGAGGTCTCCCCCGTCTGCCTCCTCGTCGTGGGGGAGTCACAGAAGCACCGCAGGTTTTGCACGTCAAAGTGTTCACGTTCGGAGCAGCAGACATTTCCAGACCGGAGCTGGTGTGGCGTCTCCACAGCCACAGGCCCTTCTTTCCTGGTCCCTCCTGCACCGTAGGCAGGATTGCAGCCTCAGGGACAAGTGTGGCTGGCTGAGTCCAGCTGTTTTGTCACCTTCCAGGCAGCAAGAAGGAGGGAGGAACAAAAAAAGAAGTCTGCTTCCACTATTGGTCATGCCTTAGTCACCTGACCTTTCTTGCTGCAGTGGAGGCTGGGAAATGTAGTCTTTTGCTCCAGGACACCAGGCTGCACCGCACCCCAGGGTACCACGCTGCTGCTCAATAAAAATAGTACACTCTCCTGTTTACCAGGAGCCGTCTGAGCTACCTGGTGGGCCAAGGGACAGGGCTGGGCTTCTGTCACAGTTTGGATCTGGACCGTTCCCCAAGGGCTCCTGCATCCCTGCTCCTGCTCCTGCTGCACTGAGGTGGTGACCCAGGGACTCACAGCTGGATGGACCAGGGAGAGGGACCGTGGGAGATGGGGCCCAGTTGAAGGGAGTGGGTCCTTCAGGGTGTGGTCCTTGGGGGCCATGTCTTGTCCCCAGACTCTTCCCCTCCACCATCCCTTGAACAGCTCTCCTCTGCCACACTGTCCCKCCAGGAGGTCCTGTCTCAGGACAGAGGCGAGCAGCCGTGGACTGAGACCTCCGACCTCCAGAGCCAAAGGGGCCCCTTCCTCCTCCAAGTGGCTTTTCCCAGGTGTTCTTCACGGTGGCTCAAGCTGACCCACACAGCTCCCTTGGGCCATCCGCTTTAGATCCCGCCCTCGGGGTCTGCGGCTCCAAGACTGATCCCTCCTGGCCCTGCTGGTAAAGCCAGCGGCAAGACCCCGGCATTTCATTTTGTCAGGTCTGGACATGAAGGGACACATCTGTCACTCACTCCTAGTGTCCGTCTAGAAGAGATTTGAACATCCCTAGAGCAGAAGGCTGTTCCATGTCAGGACTGCACCAGCACGTGTCCCAGTGTCAGCGTGGACAGCTGTGACCAGCCCTGTGACCACGAGCACCGTGGGACCGTGTGCCGTGGGAGGGTCCTGGGCCCCGGGTGGCTGCCACTCAGTAGCTGCTCATCTTGAGCACCGGATATGTGCCGGGGACCGTTCTATCAGTGGTGCCCAGCAGTGAGCAAAACAGACCCCATCCTAATGACCATCAGCCCGTCGTCACATCCTGACCGGCGCATGGGGGAGACCAAGAACCTGGGTAAGGAAGTAAAACACAGAGCGCGTCCGTTGGTGACAGGGCTGGAGAGGAGAAGGGCTGGGGACCCCCGGGCATCTGAGGAAGAATGTTCCAGACAGGTGCTATGGAGACCAGGCAGCCGGGCAGGTTCCAGGACCGGGGAGGAGGCCGGGTGGCCGAGCCGYGGAGGCTCTGGGGAGAGGAAGGACRGTCCGCCGCCCAGCAGGATCCCCCACCTGTGTGTGTGGGAGTGGCCAGGCCGGCGGCATAGACTCCATGCCCAGGCCCCAGAGACGTCGAGAAGCCACCAGAGCGGACGCAGCGCCAGGCCTGAGAAGCCAAGACAGCAGGAGGGACGTGGTGGTGGTGGAGGCAGAGGTGGCCCTGAGGTGGCCCTGGGGCAGTCAGGGACGTCTCCAGGCAGGTGGCCACGTGAGCCGGGGTCTGGATGAGCCCTCCAGCCTTGGGAAGGTGCCGGGGAGCGCTCAGGGGAAGGCGGGGGACTGGGCAGGACGGCAGGCCACGCCTTCCTTCCAGTGGGAACAACCTGGTCTTGTGGAACCCGCCTTCCGGCGAGCCGTGAAGCTCCAAGCCCTCACGGACAGGGTGTGGGAGCCGTGGCCACTGAGACGTGGAAGTGAGGCCACTGAGGGCCAAGTGGGGGGCAGCTGGAGGCCCTGCACCTTCCCAGGACCAGGGTGGCCCAAGAGGGACAGGGACACGGCAGGGCACCCACGTGGCACAGGAGCGCCACCTTTGGACACCCAGACCCTTGGAACTAACAGGGACTTCACGACTGTGCGTCAGGTGACAGCAGAGCCGCGGTGGGTGAGGCAGGTGGCCGGGCAACGCCAAGCCCAGCCCCAAAGAAGCGCAGGTCTGTTCAGATGGTAGCCGGCTCCGTGTGCAACCTCCAGATGAAAACAAGCCCAAGTCAGGCTTCCATGCCAGGCACCTTGCCAGCCGAGGGGTGGTCATGTGACCCAGCACTGGCCAATGAGATGGTCAGGAAAGCCTGGGAACTTCAGCAACGGCAGGCTTTTCCTCCTCCTTGTCTCTCTTGCTTGTCATGTGAGAACCTGTCCATGGCAGCCGTCTTGTGGTCACGAGGACGAGACTTGGAGAAACCAACCCAGAACACTGAGACCTCTAAGCGGCTGGCCTCACCTACGCCTGGATCTCGTGTGACTGAGAGAATCCGGGACGTGGCTRTTCAACTCTGCCCGGGGGCCACACACCCCAGTGGCTTGGCCAGGGCTCTGCTCGGGTTTGAATCCCTGCAGACCACGGGGTGATAGATGGTGAGCGCCGGCTTCCTCGCCTGCAGCTCAGGGTCCTGGACAACCACCCCCTGAAGTAAGCGTCCCCCGTCAGCCTCGTCACAGCTCCCCAGAGAGCTGCCTGGGGTCTGGGCCGGGAGGGCCATCAGGAGTCTGCTGTGGGGCCAGGGAAGCCCAACCCGAGGGAGCGGCCGGTGGCCACCAGGCGCCTGTGGCTTGGTAACAGTCCTGAAGCGAGGCGACTCGGAAGGGACCGTGTGGGTCGTCAGGACTCTGCTAGGCTCTCCTGGGTGGCAGGTGTGGCGGGAGCATCAGGGCAACTTGGCTCACATGCTGGCGCCCTGGCGGGGAGGCCGCAGGCTGGGATCCGGGTGATGCCGGGGCTGAGCCGCTCTCTTCACATCATCCCAGGGCTCCGCCAGGAGGGTGGCTGGGCTGCACACGGGGACCAGGGCCGTCAAAGCCCCGGAGCAGGGGCTGCCGTGTTCCTAAAGGCTTTGGCTCAGCCGCCTCGCTCCACCACGGCCTCCTGGCCAAAGAGCTGGCCAGGCCACCCAGGGTCCGTGCCAGGATGAGCTGGGGCCAAATGCAGAGTGGGTCCATGCAGGGTCTGGCTGTCTGGGCAGAGGCTGGGACGGCAAGGAGGAGTGGGCGCAGAGGCTGGAGGGACCCAGCAGGGGTCAGGGACACGGGCCCCGTG